TGGTGCCTTCAATTTTGATAGTCCCTTCAGTATACTTTCAATCTGCTCTTTTATTTCTTTAAGCATATCAAATACCTTTATTTTGTATTCTGTCTCTGACAAACCTAGTAATTCTGTAGGTCTGGGTAGGTATGTAGCTTGTATTTTATCGTTCATGATGGTCTCATGGTGGCATATTTTGTATTTGTTTAGTGATTTTCATCATGGGCTCATGATCCTTGGGTATTTATCTGGGGAAGATTCTTTGATATCTGGATTTCAAGTATTTTCCAGATAGGACTTTTTGTTGTTGTATATTTAACATGATTTTTCTTAACCTGGCACAAAGAAGTAGTTAGAAATTTTCAGAGGATATTTTGTATCATTTTTTGTCCTTCTAGACCCAAAGCCAAGTCAGATATAATTCCTGACCTATCCCCTCTGTGGGCTTTTTTATTTCTTCCTCTTATTTAGCCATTAAGCATGTTTCCTTTGGGGGTAGTCGGTATTATGAATCATTCGTGGTTCATCTTACTTAAAATCTAAACTTACTTAATGTTCCAAGTTTTGCCTTTTAAGTTCCAGGTTTTGTCTTTTTTTTTTTTTTTTTTCATTGAGACAGAGTCTCATTCTATCACCCTGGGTAGAGTACTGTGGCATCATCCTTAGCTCACAGCAACCTCAAACTCCTAGGCTCAAGCAACAGATTTTATGTTTTATGTCCTGTATAAGTAATTTATTAAACCCCAATGCTGCCCTGCCCTGCAAATCCGGACTTTCTTATCTTTCTTCTTTTGCTCTCACAGATTTCCACTTAGTTTCTGCCAGCTCAAACATGAATAAATAGATGCTTTTTATATTTCAGAATCCAGAATTCTTTGTTTTATTTTCTCAGGAGAAATCTTTCTGAATAAGAAGAAGTTTGCAATATTGCTGGAAATAACTGGCCTTAAGAAATATTTATTGGATGATGAATAAATTGACTTCGACCTAATGAACAGAAAATTCTGTCTCTTTCTCCCATTGTTGAATCATTGCTACACATTTGCTAAAATGTCATTCGGGATGGAAAAATGCAGGGGGTACATTCCTTTTAGTACATTTCTTTTTATATACTAAAAAAGAAATGCCTCTTTTCTTCATAAAAACAAATCTCAAAAACATTGTTCAAATGTGGAACTGGAAGAGACTTCCTGGGGGTGAGGGAGAATTGGATTAAGTAATCTGAACCTGTCCTGGAGGGTCTCCTGGCTGTTTGTGGTGAATATGCCCACCCACTAGCAAGCAGGCATTAAAGGCTTTCTGCTCCCATCATCATTGGACAAATAACCAAAAATTTACTCTTTTGTAATGTACAGTAAGTCCTCACTTAACAACGTTATCCATAGGTTTGTAGAAACTGCAAAATGATGTACAAAAAGACCAATTTTAACATAGGATAATTGATATAAAGAAGAGTTAAGCTCTTTTTTAAAATTTCACATTATGGCAGTACACATATTTTTGGTCACATGTATCAGTTTTGTTTTGCTTGAGTCAGGGTTATAAATGTGTCTTTCACCCAGAAAGTTTTCTTTGTACTTGTTGAAAATTTTGGAAAAACTCTTCTAGATGTTGGCCTAGGCAAAGAATTTATGATGAAGACCATGGTTATGTCAACAAAAAGTATAAATGACACTTGATTAAATGAAAAGAGCTTCTGTATACAGATAAAGAAATAGTTAACAGAACAAATAAACAACCTACAGAATAGGAGAAAATATTCAGAAGCTGTACATCTGAGAAAGAGCTAATAACCAGAATCTACAAAGAACTCACACAAATCAGCAAGGGAAAAATAAACAGTTCCATTTGAAAGTGGGCAGAAGACATGGACAGAAGCTTTTGGAAAGATGATAGACAAATGGGCAACAAACATGAAGAATTAAGTTCTTACAGCATACAGGATATCATCTCATTTAGAGTCACACTTTCCAAGAACCTATAGATAATGTTAAGTGACTGTATCTTGAGATAGGCCAGATGATTTTAACATGATTGTCCTGAACTCTGGGGGATCACAAAAGAGATATAAATGCCTGTGTATGGAAAGAGAGAGATGACAGAGCTGGAGATAGAGACAGAGATAGAGAGATAGAATAAGAATGGAGAACAGGTGCCAAGAGAAAGCTGTGTCTTTTTATAACCTAACCTTGTAAGTCACATAGCATCATTCCCACGACACTCTACTGATTGAAGAAGTCCCAAGTTCTTGCCTAGAGGCAAGGGTAGGGAATATAGGCTCCATTTTTGATTAGAGAAATGTTAATCCTAGTATACAAAGAGCATGTGGAATGCAAAGTGTATGTATGTGTGAGTGTGTATGTGTTGGAATGGCCATCTTTGGAAACACAATCTGCCATACACATACACAATGTATAGTTGTTACAAACATCATATTACAGTAGAAAACACCAGCATGATGCCAGGCACTGAATAAGTTGCTCCATATGCATTAATTTTTTCCTTTTTGTTGCCTCACTGTCTATAAGAAAAATGTAACAGGTTTTTATTTTAAGGGACAGAGGATGGAAAGGAAGTAAAAATGGTGTTATTTTTCTTGCACGTTCTACTATACTGAGCTGCCAGGTCAGTAAATACCCATTATACAAACGCAGGAATTGTGGCTCAAAGCTGTTTAGTAATTTTAGTCTCCAACTGATTTAGTAAGATGATTTATTTTTTGTTCTCTACTTATGTTTTAAATAAACTTTTTAAGTGTAGCATAAGGATAGAGCTTAGTGAATTTTTGCAAACCGAACACATCTGTATAACCAGAACCCCTATCAAAACGGACATTGCCAGCAGCCCTGAGGCACACCCTCCAGATCTCTTTCCAGGCACTAGTCCCTTCCAAACCCAAGAGGAAGTGCTATCTGACTTCTTGCATCACATATTAGTTTCTTTGTTTTTAAACTTTATATAAACAGAATAATAAAGTATGCATTCTGGTTTTTTTTTTTTTTGCAGCTGTCATTGTTGTTTTGGTGGGACCAGGCTGGATTCAAACCCACCAACTCAGGTTTATGTGGCTGGCACCTTAGCCACTTGAGCCACAGGTGCCAAGCCAAAGTATGCATTCTTTTTTGCTTGGCCCCCTTTCCCCCAGTGATACCTTTGTGACATTTATTTGTGTCATTATCTTCCATGGCTATATGGAATTTTATTTATTACTATCCTACCATTTGTTATCCCTTCTACAATTAGTTGACATGCATATTTTCAATTTGGGGCTACTATGTCTAATGCTACTGTGAACATTCTTGGCCTGTCTTTAAGTAAACATGTGCACTCATTTTTATTGAGTATGGACCTAATGGTAGACTACCAGGCCAAAATGTTATGTCAATGACCAAGTTTGTTAACTATCGCCAACCAACTTAGTGTACTCACATATTACAGTGTATAACAATGTACTAATCTTTTTCCTTGTACTGATATAATTCCTCTTTTCTTATTTTTCCTTTTCATCTATTTTTGGACAGTAGTTCAAGTTTATGTTTTTTTGCTTTAGGAGTTTTGGTTAGGGATAAATGCAGTCTCTCCCCATTTTTTAAGCCAAGGTCCACAGAAGAGATAGTATTCTTTGCTCCGAAGGTATAGGGAAGACCGTGAGGGCAAGGAGGGTAAAAGAGAGTCTGTCAGAAACAGGATAGAAGTCAGTGGGTTTAGGAGACTGCAGGAGCCAGAGGACCTGAATTGCTGCTGTGTCTCTTTTTAGTAGGATGACTGTATAATTTGTTATCCAAGTCTGGACACTTTAGAGAGTGGAGGGTTGTGCTATTAATATTATAATCACTAGTCTACAGGAATAATGAGTGTAAGTTAGGACTGTCCCTGGCAAACTGGGATTATTTTATGCAGCCTTAGTGGAAACTTACAAATGCAATTGCTCACATGTCTGTGAATTTTTCTTAAAATATTCATGTAGCAGATCATATGGAGAGCAGCTTTGTCATCTGAAGAATGGCAAGATTAAGTCCTCAGACACATTTTCCGTTATACCTTAATCCTGCATGCTGTTAGAGTAGCTCCGTGCAGGGGTGTGCGTGTGTGTCTCTTTGCATATGAGTCGTGATATTTTAATCTTCTCATATATAGTGAAGGCCTGTCTGTAGCCCTTATTAGAGCTGAGAGGAGGTGGTGTTTGTGGTGGGTGGTGTGGTTTCTTCACTGTTCCGAGCGGCTGATGGTCCTAGAAACATTTTATCTGAGGTGCTCTCTGTAGATCTGATCTGACCTTTTATTTTCCTTGGTACTACTTTCAAAGTTTTCTATGAAATTTTGGGAATAGTGGTTACATTTGGGGGCTAGTTTCCCTTAAAGTCAACTTAGGCTTTAAGAGTTAATGAGAGACAAAAAAATGAGCCCCCAAACACAGCACTGAATGATGTGAAATCCCCAGAGTGAGGGGGTTTGAGTGGAACGCCCAGTGTCAAGATGCTGGGTAAACACCACGATCCAGCCTGTGAACAGGCGGTGTGATGTCTTCCCCGCAGAGAAATTCCCAGGGAAAATTGTGTCTCATCAGGTCCCTGAGATCATCAGGCAGTTTAAATTTCTCTGTGATATGCCATCTGGGGTTTGGGTGAAAATAAGAATTGCTAGTTTTTCCCCCCTAAAGTTACTGGAGACCATCTGGGAAAATCTTCAAACAGGAGCCACGGTCTATTCCTCAAGCACCTTGGCGCCTGGGGTCTGTAAAAGCTCTGGTTCCCAGCACCAAAGGAATCAGAAGCACTAACACACAAGGCTGGCTGTTTTCCATGCTAGCAGCCACGTTTTTTCTTTATGACTAATGGAAAAAGACACTGCATAAGGCCTCACGCTGAGGGGGCCGGGGAGAAGGTCCGAATCCCATCTTTCCTGATGGTTTCCTTTTACACCCACAGCCAAGGGCTCCGGGATTCTTAGTCCCTTCTGTGCTCTCAACCATGACCCTGGGGTGAGTTGGAATGAAGGGGCAGAGAGGAGGCAGGTGGGATGTGCAGAACCAGTAAACATAGTGGACTCTCTCAGCTTTTTTCCTAGGGGAACCTGTATCTAGTTGGGACCAGGAGGCAGAAAGTGTGAGGATACAATGGGGGCAACGGGAACTCCTGACCCTCAGTGCCTGAGAAACCAGCCCAGGTTGTACTCCTGGCTCTTGGGGTGTCTCTGCGGGTCCTTGGGCAGCCAATTCCAGTATCCCGTCTCCTCATCTCTTAAGCATGAACAGAATTCTTGCTTCCTGTGCCAATGGATTCTAGCTTGCATTCATGATGCCCCCAGGGTAGCTGCAATACCGTCATAGATATATTTTCAGTAGCTTGGGATGGAGAGGGCATAGATGAGGGAAGAAAGAGTGAACATTCGGTACCGGCTTATCTTCTAGAAATTTCTTCCATTAGTCATGCCTCTGCCTATCATGATTCTCTATGTTTTATCTCCTGTTTCCCCAGATGACTCACCAGAAGAAAATGACTCTGAGAAACAGCTCCTCAGTGACTGAGTTTATCTTTGTGGGATTAACAGAGCAATCGGAGCTCCAGCTCCCCCTCTTCCTCCTGTTCTTAGGTCTCTATGTATTCACGGTGGTGGGCAACTTGGGCTTGATCACCTTAATTGGGCTGAATTCTAGCCTTCACACCCCAATGTATTTTTTCCTCTTCAACTTGTCCTTTATAGATCTCTGTTATTCCTGCGTGTTTACCCCCAAAATGCTGAGTGATTTTGTGTCAAAAAGCATCATCTCTTATGTGGGATGCATGACCCAGCTATTTTTCTTCTGTTTCTTTGTCAATTCTGAGTGCTACGTGTTGGTATCGATGGCCTACGATCGCTATGTGGCTATCTGCAACCCTCTGCTGTACACGGTCACCATGTCCCCCAGGATCTGCTCTCTACTTATGCTTGGCTCCTATGTGATAGGGTTTGCCGGGGCCATGGCCCACACTGGAAGCATGCTGAGACTGACCTTCTGTGATTCCAACACCATCGACCACTACCTGTGTGAAGTTCTCCCCCTCTTGCGGCTGTCCTGCACCAGCACCCGTGCCAATGAGCTGGTGTTTTTCATTGTCGTTGGAGTGATCATCACAATATCCAGCATCAGCATTTTCGTCTCTTACGCTTTGATACTCTCCAACATCCTCCGCATTCCTTCTGCTGAGGGCAGGTCGAAAGCCTTCAGCACCTGCGGCTCCCACGTAATTGCTGTTGCTCTGTTTTTTGGGTCAGGTGCATTCACTTATTTGACAACCTCTTTTCCTGGCTCCCTGGACCAGGGAAGATTTGCCTCAGTCTTTTACACCAATGTGGTTCCCATGCTTAACCCTTTGATCTACAGTTTGAGGAATAAGGATGTTAAACTTGCCCTGGGTAAATCCCTGAAGAATGTGCTCTTCTGATGGATCTCTGCGTCATCTGTGGTTAACTGTGGTAAGCATCATAACCAGGTACTTTTTTACCTAGCATAAGACCCCACACGTGGGGGGCCAAGGAGAAGGTCTGAATCCCACCTTTCTTGATGGTTCCTTTTACACCCATAGCCAAGGGCTCTGGATTATCCATCCCTTCTCTGCTCAAATAGGGTCTCTCAAAATAGGGTCTTTCTCTCCTTTTTCCTCAAATAGCATCTTCTCCCCACTTTTTAAAACTTGGAAATCTCTTGCCTATACTGTCTTTGAGAATTATACCATTTTATATCACTTAAATTGGTTCATTACATGCAACTTAGTGTTTATTAAGTGCCTGTTGTTTACTGGACTCTGTATTAGGTGCAAGAGATAAAGATGATGAGGCTCCAGTGTTTCTTTTCTTTTCCTGGTAGACTAATTGGGTTTGTCTGAGCAAGAACATTTCTGGCTGGGAGAAGGGCCAGGTGATGGTATAAGGGTCCAGGAACTTTTTTTTTTTTTTTAGTTATGTAAGCAGCCTTAGCAAAGACCCAAGGTAGATATCATGGTGCCGCAGGTCACACGGTCCTCCAGCTCTTTGAGAGGTTCTTTGGTCAGGAAGATCACATGTCCCTCCTTTTACAGGAATGTGTGTTCACAGGGGAAGTCTTTGCTTAAGAATTTTATTAGACTTATTGTGTAAGGATGACACAAAATCCAAATCTTTTATTTCAAAGTTTCAAAACTCCTGGAACTTGGGATGGTAACTGAGATTAGTCAATCTTGTACCTGGGCCAATTTCTTAGGTTTTGGAGACTGGGGCTGATAGAGCAAAAAATTTATGTAGATTTGCATGATTATGTAAAATGCTACCTCTCTCCTGTACTGGAGATAATGAACATATTATGGGGCTTTTAGGAAAATTCTTTCATTCTTTAAAGTGGATTTAGATTTTGCTGTCTCTGAGAATGTGCATGCATGTGTGGAGTGGGGGTGGGGAGTGGGTATTACAGTTAACCATTACAGAATCCGAAAGAAAGAAGAGTTATATTACACTTCCTACTCTCAGGCAGTCTGGAAGGGATATGGATTTTGAATGCCAAAGACCACTCCATACCACTCTGCTGAAGATTCTGCTGTTATGTATCAAATAGCTCAAATTTTAAGAAATACACCATTATAATCTACCCTGCATGTAGGAAGGAAGGTGAATGCAGGGCAAGACCGGTCGATGAGGGAGATGGGAGGGTGGAGACTCACACTGTGCTCAGATTGGGCACTCTCTGAGCCAAAGGTAGAATTTGAACTGTTTTTGAGAGATCCTCTGTGCTTTCATATTTGATGTTTTTCTTTTGGATACAGGGAGAGTCATGTAAAGTATTGCATCTATATCTTTTGCTTTGCTTGTATTTTTCATTCCTTCCATAAAATTGGGCAGTGTGTCTGGTGTGAGAAGCAAGGCAGCAGAAGGAAGTAGAGCCTTCTTCACACTTGCCTCCATGCTGACACTGGTGTGGAAGCAGCAGGATCACACTGACTTAGAGGAAAGTCCGCCCAAGTGCCCCAGGTGGTGGCCAGGAGATGTCCCTGGGGGATGCTCCCAGGGGGAGCTGGGAGCAGCACAGAGATGCACCTGCCCCATGAGACCGGGGAGATGTGAGGCAACCACATCTTCTCTGAATCTGCCAGAGAGAGATCTTTGAGAAGGAGGAAAACTCTAACACTTGCTGAGCATGCACTGTGTGTTTGTGCACTGCAGGAGGTACTTTGTGTACATTAACCCACTCATCAGAATTGAATTAATACCCTACTGGACCACTGCCAGGAGTTCTCGCTCTCAGGGCCTCACTGAATCAATCCCACTTCCAAATGACTGTCGGTGTCTAGGTCCATGGGGATCTTGAGATATCAGGAAGAAATCCAGAAGAAGGAAGGACAAAAGTAAATCTACTCTGATGCAGATAAAGAAAAAAATCAATTAGCATTTGTATAAATGAGTAGGAATAAGGAATAAGTCAGGGAAGAGGATATGAATGGAAAGGAACAATTACATAATACGTGCATTTAAAGTCCAAGAATAACTTTCCCTATGCTCACTCCATATTGACACCGGGGTGAGTAGAAGTGAAGGCTTAGGTTTGACTTAATGAGGCACTGGCTGGGATCTTCTGAAAAGCAGTCCCTTTGGTACTGAGGAAGTGAAATGACAAAAACTCAGAAGGGCTTCCTTGGTTCTTGTAACAGCCAGATAAAATCATCTGTTGCCCCAACAGAAAAAACAACGTTTAATAGATTCAGATGGCTTGTGCTTCTCTCACAAATGAAGATAGGGTGTCTGGCTTGTCATTTTGTTTATATTAAGGAATTGTTCTCAGCTTTTCAGTGGTCGATAAGTAGAAATAGGTTTGGGGGCTGCTGCTTTATAGTAACAGAGACATAATTTGAAAGTGAATGTCAGATGTCCTGAAGTGAACCCTTCCGCTACAAGACCATATACCTATCATCTTGTGACATCATGACATTTTGTTTTGCAGCAACACCATGCCAAGTTTGTTTAGGAAGCATCCTTAATGTTGAGAGTCCTCCAGTTTCAGTCTTCAGTCTGTTCCTCTTCCGGGCTTTTCTTGAGGCAGCCCTCTGACTTGTGTGGCTCAAACCGTATATTTGATGTTGACTTCTAAATCTATAACTCTGGCCCTGATCTGCAACACTAGATTATTATCTACAATAATAATTGTAGTCAATTGTAACTAGAAACCTCAAAGTGTTGTGAACTTTGATGTCCAAATAGAATCACCTAACAGTAAAATGGTGACATTGTTTTGGAGCATGAGGAGTAAATTGTTCTTGACATCTACTTACTCTCTCACATTTCTAAGCAGGTGGGCAAGGGCAGAGATGAGTGATAGACACCCATTTGCAGGAGTAAGTCCAAAGAGAACTTCCAGTGGGTCTTGGGAAGGAAAGGGCGGTGCTTTCCTCTACTCTGTGGAGCAGTTGAGATGATGGCTGTGGCTGACTCAGTGCTACCCCTCAGCCTGGATGCATAGTCCTCTCTCTCCCCTCACGCTTCCATAAAAGAAGCACATCATTCACTAATTGCTTCTGCTTCTGCTAACAAAAGTCTGATGGCAGCAGCTTAAACACAGAAGAGATTGTTTCTCTTCAACATAAAGGCATCCAGAGATGGGCTGTCCAAGACCCATGTGACAGTGCTGAGTCATCAGGCACTCAGTCTCTCCCAGTCTTTTTTCTCTTCTGTTTAGGTGGTGGCTTCATTCTCAAGGATGCATCACGATTTCCAGATGGCCACTAGAGCTCTAAAGATTCTGTCCACATCTTAAGCTGCAGGAAGACACAGGATGAGGGAAGGCAACAGGCTGCTTTACCTAGTTAGTCAATGGCTCACTTCTGCTCACATCTTATTAGCTGTCCCTACCTGCTAGGGAGTCTGGGAAACAGCAAATAACCTGAGCACATGATCATTCTTTAAAATATAGGTGTTTCTTGCTAAGGACGAAGGGGAAATGGCTGTGGAAAAGTAGCTGCATCTACCAAAAGATAAGATCCCATTTGCCAGGAGGGAGTCGTTCAGCAGTGGCACTGTCTAGCTCTAGTTTTGCTTTTTCATTTTGTCCACTCTGTGTGAGGAGGATACACTGATGAGACAGGCAAGACTGATGGAGACTGACAAGTTAGTCCCTGGTGGACACGTGTCCAGCATCTCCATCACTGGCCTGTTGGTATGAACGTAATTGACCTCTTGGCAAGGACATGCTAGGTACACGGTATTTCAACCTCAGCTTCTCCTCCTGTCTCTGACCGGGTTAGGTGAGGGTCCAGGTTCTGGTCCGAGTGAGGTTTGAGACCTGACACATGTCCCCCTTCAGCGTTGCTATCAGTAAAGATGAAATGGTATCTTGGTTCCTTTTTGGCTTCTGTACTTGACCTCACTAATTAGACTCCACAGGGGTGGGAAAGACAGTGACTAATACTGCTAAATCTCCCATGTTATAGTTGTCTTTGTATTTTTTGGATGAAGACTGGAAGATCTCATTTTCTTATTACTTCAGATGACCTCTTTAGCTTTAGTAGTGGGTTATTGGAAATCAAGTCAAGAATAAAGTTTATGAGAGCACACAAAATGCAACTCAAATGGGGCCATGATGTTTCATTTTGGATGTCAATTTGACTGAATTAAGGAATACCTAGAGAACTTCTCTGTGTGTGTGTTTGCGGAGGAGATGGCGCTGGAGTCGGTGGACTGAGGGGGGAAGATTTGCTCTCAATGGACAGGCACCTTCCAGTCGACTGGGGGCCCAGATAGAACCAAAAAGAAGACAAAAAGGCTTCTTTTCTTACTCTTCCCCCTGGAGCTGGGACACTCTCCTCTTGTCTGTTGACATTAGAATTCCAGATTCTTTGGCATAGGAACCCCAGGACTTACAAACCAGTGAGCCCCTAGATTCTGAGTCCTTTGGCCTGACCCTGAGAGTTACACTATCAGCTTCCCTGGTTCTGAGGATTTGGGACTTGAACTAAGTTTTACTATCAGCATTCCAGGGTCTCCAGCTTGTCATGGGACTTCTCAGCCTCTATAATTGCACAAGCCATTTTCTCTAATAAATCCCCTCTCACATATCCATACCTGTTTCTCTATATCCTAATGGTTCTTGGTGGAGAATTGTGGCTAATACAAAGGGCCATGGATAAAAGCATCCATTGCAAGATAACAGGGAAAGTTAACCCAAAAAATTAGGCTAGGGATCCATATCAGTAATTTCATAAAAAAGCAAGATTAGCTTATCTTTCAAGACTCACTAATCTATTTATTGGTTCAACTAAACTGTTAGTAAGTGAAAGGTGAAGAGTTCAGTATTGTACTTTATGACACCATTAGGATTCTAGCTCCCTTTCATTTGCAATGATATGTACCGTTGTATACCTTGAATAATAAAATAAATTGAGGTCAGATACACCGATACTGCTTTCTAAAACTTCACAAGCCTATTGAAAATATTTACCCAATCAGAACAATTTGACATCTCTTTGCAGGTAAAACAGTACCTACAACCTGATAAGCAAATGGTAAAATAATAAGTATACCATGTTTCCCC